CTGATTTTCTGCTGTTCAGGGTCCATACTCTGCTGCTGTCCTTCCTTCTTTTCCTCAGGACCCTGAACTCAATCATCTCATGGTTGGTGCTTCCCAAGTTATTTAGTCTAGAAAAGAAGGGACTGAGAGGAGACTTAATAGCAGTCTAAAACTTCCTGAAGGGGGGTTCAGAAGAGAACAATTAGGGTGCAAACAAGCATTTAATTAACCTGAGTCACGTTCTACCACATGCAGTCATTCATGTGGGCTACTTCAGGTAAGTAAGTTGTGGGGGAAAGGGCTGACAAAATTGGGGTGGGGGGGCTGTGACAGGTCCACAGGGGAGGAAGCTGGTGGGCCTGCAAGGTGGGGGCTGACCAACTGAGGTGGGGCAAATTGCTTGTTAGGGTTGGGTGGTTAAAACACCATAGCCCTGGGGTTCTGACAAATGTCTGGGCTTTCCCAGACCTGGGGCTGTGCTGTGAACATGTGCAGGCATTCATTACATCAGGTTAACCCAGCCTGATGTGCCATTTTAGGGCAGTTTAAGCCCTGTGAACACTTTCATGCTCAGCCATTTAGATTGCCCCAAACTCAGGACAATCTAAATCTAATTCTTGTACGTACCCAGTGACCAGCTGTGAAAAGTCTGATTTAAGAGACTTAACAAGCGTCACAGAGGAAATCTGGGTGTGTTTCCTGTGGCTTCTCTTAAGCACAATGGGGACAGAGATTTCAAGAGTGGCTGCAGAAAATGCTCCTGAAACAATTTCAGCACCACTGTTCTGGGATGGCAAGCCCAAAAATGGAATTCAAGGAAAGGATGCACTTGAGAGCAGGCATCTCAGCAGTGCCAAGGACATGACACAGACCATATCATTTGTGGCAGAGAAAATGATCGTGTCCCATTCTCTAGCACAACGTTCAACTGCTAGAAGTCCAGAAGAGCACAACAGTATATACTTTGACCCCTCCTGCTCAACAGAAGCCACAAGCTACTTCTACTCTTCATTAAAATAGAAGGCTCTTTATAATGAAGATCCTATAATGCAACATAGTAAGAGAGCCATTGGTCCCGGCAAGAACAGGGAAAGTGCTAGGCAAAATATGCCCAGATGACATAAGGAAATAGACCATGCCCCGTACTACACATGAAGGCAGAAAAAAAAATCAGTAATCCATGCCTATATGATCTGAGGGATAATCCTTTGTGACCCAAATGTAGTGTTCAATTTGCATGTGAGCAAGACCCACCAACCAGTCACTGTAGAGTACCTCATTGCTTCCAGAAGCCCTGCCCAATCTCCCACACTTCAGAGGAAGGCAAAAAAAGAAAACAGAAACAAAGAAAAACCATAAAAGCATGTCTTCATGGTCCAATCTATGCAGTTTAGAGAAAGCTGCGTAGATTGAATCAATTCTGCCTTGGGCTTTTTGATTATCTGTACTTAGCTGGTGTGTACAGACAGGTGGAGTCGTATATCCAGTTGAAGTGTGTGAGCACCTCCAACCAATGATTGGACAAAAAACATTTATTTAACCCGTCCTTGCAAATTTAACTTTTTAGAGCTACAATTCTTTAATCTTAGTCACAGCCAGCTTCCATCAGAACTAAACTATGCCAGCACTCCTATCTACCTGGAAAAAATAAAAGGAGCAATAAAGGACCTTTCTGTGCCAGCTCACAAGATACACAGATCACTGTGCCAGAAAGCAGCACATACAAAAATAGTGTAACATAATTCTCACTTACAAGATTTTGAAAATGCAAGCATTTTGTTATTATAGTGTTTACTTGAATGTACCATATTTAAATGGGTTAACATGCTAGAATCCTGACAATTAATTTAGTCAAACAAGTCAGTCAGAACTACTACAAAGTACTTTGGATGATAAAACACATTATGTCAGTTTGACATAAAGCCACAGAACACAAAGGGAAATTAGAAAGTACATATTTTTACTTGATGTGGAAAATATGCACCTAGTTACCACAAGTTAATTATGCAGTATTTATGAATTTCCTAATAAATGGTAAACCATAGTTAGGTAATGGTAAAAGAAAATAATAATTTTAACCATTATTTTTGTCCTAGGTGAACAGGCACTTGGTAACAATAATACCAAAGCCAAACAAAGCAAAGCACTTTATTAAAGATAAATGTTCTTAACCTAACTGCCAATATAAAAGCCCAATACATTTTCAGTTTTTCTAATCAAAGCCTTTAGTAGTAATAAACTTACTTCCCTTACAAATGCACTATTCAGACGCTAGGGACTAGGTACTATTAAAAAAGACAAACAACAAGCTAAACCAGAATAACAATTCTATATCTGTATTTCTATGGGGGCTCTTAATGCCAAAAACAAGACAAACCTGGGCTTAGCTGTTGCTGTGTCTGTGTAGTTAGTGTTCCCAGTATACTACACTTTTCAAAATGCTCTCCAGTTGCACTCAGATGCTGGCTGAGTTGTCTTATGGAAAATCCTGATTCTCCAGTTTCAGGAAACTTCAGATGAAACTGTGATTCCAAACTCCTAGCAAAGGAGAAGTCCATGGCATTGTGTCTCCCACCGCAATAATCACTGAACGCTGATTCCTCCTCAGCATTCTGTGCAGGCAGTGGAAGAATCCGATGGTGAAGTTGTGGGCTAGACAATCTCGAAGATAAAGGAGAAGGAATAGGTGACATTTGTTTGTGTGTGTTAGATAATGGATGTAAATTAAGAACATTACTCACTGCTGCTAAAGAGGGTGAAAGCTGCCTTTTCTCTTCCGGTTTGAGATTGGTATTTGTCTGAGAAATATTAGGACTTATATTTATTGGCAGATTTAAAAACAAACGTTTGCTGCTTTCCTGAGGTACCAGAGGTCTTTGGTCATGCATTGAGCCTGGTAGTTTTCTGTCTGCTCTTGTAATTTGTTGCAGTTTCCTCCATTCTGCAGCTTCATCTAAACTGTCACTCTGTCTAACTTTCAGAAGGGTTTTATTGACTGCTCCCGTAAGGTTGTATGACTCATCAGTAATGCATACTTTCTTTCCTTCATGCTGTAACACAGAGTCACCTCGTTCCTTTGCTGGCATCACAGTGTTTTTGGAGTCCACAGCAACATCATCTACAGTAAATATATCAGCTTTGGGAATAAATTCATTGTGCACTGTGGCAAGAATAGGAGTACTAGTCTCATCTCCTTGAAACTCAGGGTAAGAAATGGTCTCAGATTCTTCATAAGTCTGTACAACTTTCTGCACACAAGCTTTTAAATCTTGTACTTTAGCAACAACCCTGGCTGCAAGTTTCTTATTGCAGGTTTGCTCAGCATACTTACAGTTATTCAGGTTACCAGTCACTGCAGTCTTATTTAAGGCCTCAAATCTATTAGAGAAGTTGTCTTGCTGAGAATTGAGCAAAGGGCTGCTGTGTTGTATCTTCACAGATTTAAGATTTCCCTCTGCATCATTCAATAGACTACTAGTGGGGTACATAATACAGCTTCCAAACACCTCATTGTCATATTCAGATAGAGAATCAGAAAGGTCTGCATCCGAATCCACAGGCCCACCGATCTTAAGAAAATACCCGGCTTCGCTCCATCTTTCTGGTTGAATTTGTGTGTCCAGTGGTAAATCATCCTTGGTTTCTGCTGCCTGCCAATTAGAAATGGAAAAGGAACTGGGAGAGCTGCCAGGAGGTAATCTGTTGGAAAGTATCCTGTTATTTCCCAACTGAATTTCTTTCCTATTTAACACAGAAGAAGGCTGCAAGTCATTTTCATGAACGCTTTTTCCCCCTTTCTTGTATAAAAACTCCTCCATGTTCTCTTTCCTTTTGCTAAATTTCCTTGTCTTTTTGTTTTTCAAGCCGGTTTCCTTGTCCATCAATCCCAGAAAGGACTCTTGGTGATCCTTAAAGTCCATGTTATCCTCATTATGCAATGCCATGACTCCTGAAACATCCTGAAGCTTCCCATCCTGATTTCCCATTTTAATCCCCAAAATATTGTGTGAATTTAGCAGGTTAGCTACCAGTCTCTCCTTTTCAGCAGTCAATTTATACAGCTCAGTAAGAATGTCTCGAGTGGTAGTTTGTTTGAAAAAAATATCTCCAATATTTTCAGAAGGATGCTCTCTCAGTTTTGCTGTCTGGGATCCTTCCCTTACTTGATAGCAATTATGGAAACGTTTACAGGATCTGTCTAGAGTTACACAGCCCTTGTATGTAAATCCTCTAACTTTCGCCTCGGGGAGATAGAAGCTGACGTAGCAGAGTTCCATAATGGGGCTGTACAATTGGAGGATAGTATGAGTGCCTTCCATTATGCTCAACTAATTATTCATGCATTTAAATTATGTGGTCAGTGTTTCAAGGTTTGCGTGACACAGCATGTGATGCAGGGAATGTACAGAAGGCATCTGATTAATCTTCTACAGTACTGTTGCCTGTTAAAGGAAAAAGAAAGAAGCCTGTCAAACTTGATTAAGGCAATTTTGATACAACAAACCACAAATTACAAAGCATCACAATTTTCCCTCGCTATATTTTTATGCCAGTTTTTGCCTTAAAAGATTTAAAATAAAAAGCAATACGCACCACCAACCCTCACAGTTATTCTTATAACATATATACTCCCAGGTGCTCTTCGTCCATTCACTTCCACATTAGGAATTAGCTCTACAGCTTACCTTCCAAAACAAATTTACTCTTCAATTTTGCTGCTGTATTTTCTTATTGTTAAATGGTGTTGCACTCCAATAGATGATACATTAAGACATAGGAAGATGCATACTGCTGCTATAGAAATGTGAGCTGCTATTTTTACTCACACAGCACTGCCAGAAAGACAACCCTTAAATCCTCAATACTCCATAGCTTTCATTGATACCTGTTTCAGATAAACCCCCCAAATCATCCCTAAACAACTGAAAAAAGATTGGGCATCAAATTTTGTCTTTATTTACACCCATGCAGTCTTGAGGAGATCATTAACATCTAAACTGAAGGGAAAGAATTGGATCCATTTATCTGATTTAACTATAACATCTAAACCAGCAACAAAGTTCATTGGATACTATTTATTCATCTGGAGCTTTCTAAGTGGGAGGAAAACTCTTTCATTTCACAGCTGTTGATTGAGTAGGTGTGCGATTATGCTCCTATACTTCCCCTCTTTGCACCAGACCATCCAGATTTTACTTGTGACAGAGCTAGATATGTCTGCATTTGTTTTATATTCCCTTGCGAAGCTGGATGTCACTTCATGGGTCCTTACTACTTTTGTAAACTGGATTGACTTCTTCTACAAACATTGATATTAGGCAGGAGAAGCCAGGGAGAAACACTTGTAAAAATCAGGGGGTGGGGGGAGGGGGGGAGTTCTATAAGTCCCCAGAAAAGAAACCAGAGTTGAGGAACAATTCTCACTTCATGAAAAGCTGCGCATAGTTACAGGTTTTTCTCCCTTTTAAACGAAGTGAGAATTGCAGCTTGCAAATGCTGAAGCAGAGTTTGTCAAGTGATTCCTGCAAAATACAGCAATTCCTGATGAATCTTCACCATTTCTCAATGCATACTTTTTACCTTGCTGTTACGTGTTGAGGCCCAGTTTAAGTATTTGTATACCTTTCAGAAATGACCCTGTTGCTACCATAGCTGTGTGACAACCTCTCTGTGGTGCTTATCTTCAAATCCTGTATTGGTATGCATGGGCAAGGGAGTGAAAAACTCTTTTGTATTTGTTTGACTGTGATAACATGTTTTAATAGTTTTTAACAGTTTGAATATAAGAAGTTAGAGAAGTCAGGCTTGCGTGCATTGGCCCTGACTTCTAAAATTGTAAAGTTCATAAGGGGGCTAATACTGTAAGAGAAAGTTTGGTAAATGTTGCTGAGGGGTCAGTGCTCACCATGTCTTATGTGGAAGTCTAAGGTGAAGGGACCCCTTAATTCAGAAATCACAAGTGGATGTTCCAGGTTGGAGCTCTCCACGGGGAATGGAGAGTATATGTCGAGGTACTGGGCTGTATGAAAATGGCGCTGAGTGAACTCCGGACATACTACTAGAAACTGGTAGCAGAGGGTGAAGAAGACACAGCCAAAGTCACTTGGCATAGACATGTGGCACAGGACCTTCCAACCCCCCCCTGCCGCCCCCGAGTGGAGAGGGGGATGAAGGCAGTGAAGAAGAGGAAGGGACAAGTGGAACAGAGGACAGCAACAGCAGCAGTGGGTCCTCCAGTGGGACCTGGAGTGACAACAGTGGAGAGGACACTTGAACTGAGTATGTGACCCCGCAAGTGGGGTGGGGTGAAAAGGAAGTGTGGCCTGGTCCAAGGGACCAGGATTGACTTAGTTGTTTTGTGTATATTGCGTGCGATGCAGATATTGTAATGGGTTCGGGTGGCCAGTGGGCCTTTATACAAGTGCGCGGTTGTTGTTTTTGTAATGGGGGATGGTTTTTCCTTTTGTGGTGTGATATGAAGAGTGTAGGTATATATAGCCTTATGTAGACATATATTTTTATAAAAAAAAAAATTCACCATCCAGCCATAAAGAGGTTAGTACTGGTGATGTGCAAATCCCTTTAGTGGGATGAGTCTGAACCTATTACTCCCTTGGTTCTGAAAAGCTGAATTTTTTAGGGTACTGTCAAGTCAGGTAGAAGCCTGTACCTGCTGGATTCTGAACAAGCTGAGACTGTGGAGGTTCCTCAAGCTCTAAAAGAATTGGGTTCCTTCTGCAACCAATAGAGGAGCAGTGCCCCACAGCAACAGCAAGGGGTAGCAATAGCAGTGGTAGAGCAGTGCCCCTGATGGTCATGGTGAGCAGTGAAGCAGCCTCCCCAGTGGTGGTGAGCAGCGGCAGAGCAGTGTCCCCCAGTGACGGTGGGTTACAGTGGAACCAGCATCCCCAAGTGGTGATGAACAGTACCTGAGCAAGCTCCGCAGTGGTAGGGAGGAGCAACAACAGCAACCAAGGAGCAGTGCCCTCCAGCAGCTGTGAGAAGCAATGATAGCAACCAAGGAGAAGCAGTCCCCAGCAGTAGTGAGGAGCAGTACAGCAGCAGTGAAGTAGCACTCCATAGTAGTGGTGAGGCAAGGGGAACCTTGGGCTTGTAGCTACATTGTCTTTATGAACTACACTGCTCACTATGTGTGGGACTAGGACAAAACTCTGATCATATTGACTGTGCTGAATCGTTAGTAATAGGCTGAGGTGGGCTACTGATTATTAATGATTTTCTAAATTTGTTTGTCATCCCACTTCCCCTTCCCCCCCATCAATGAACCCTGTTATAATTTAATATTGCTTGTGAGTGTGGAAATTTGTTCACATTGCAATACCCAGGCAGAAATTATTTTCCCAGGTTTCTGAGCAGGGGCTCAAGCCAAGATAATCAATTTGTATAAGATCCCTAAGTTGAACTCGGCCCTTGTTACTGCCAGTCTGGCAGAAGGGTCACACAAAAATAATTTAATCTTTTTACTTTGTAAATTATAAAGAATGTAAACTTCTATATTGTTTTGTTGTATGTAATTTTGTGTCTTTTCCTGGGGTGTCACATCAAACCAAAGGTCTATGTCGGGGCAGGCAATTATTTTGTGTGCAGGGCCACTTACTGAGATTTAGCAAGCCCAGGGAAGAGAAATATTAATTTTCTAAATTTTTTAGGGGCCCCGTGGACCAGATAGAATGGCATGGTAGGCCGCATGCGGCCCATGGGTCACATTTTGCCCACCCTGGTCTATGTGCTCTACTGTTCTGTCTCCCACAGAAACCAAATCGTTCAGGAAAAAGGATAACACTATGACACATAATTATGAAATCCCTTGTTATAAGTTGCAAGCCTGCTTTATTTTAAATTTCTTACCTTACTAGCAAAAGTGATTGGATTTTTGGCAATTTTTGTTTTGTAAAGGATTATGTGCACAGGCAATACTCTTTCATAAATCCCAAATTGTGCTCTTGTTTCAGAAGGCTCTCCTTTTGAATTTCTGGTAAGTTATTAATATGAATTTTAATTCTGCAAAGGTATGTTCACAAGGAAAGGATCTCTCTCGCAGAGCAATAGCGATATTCCATTCTACACAAAGCAGAGAAAAGGGAACCAGACTACAAGCAATTTATAAATATCTGTACAATTTGTCTGAATATAGGAAACATTCTGGAATAGCAGTCATTAAGGAGAAAAAAGGCAGTATGGATGAGAAAAAGAGTGTTTGAATTTTCCACAAGTGCAAGTAACATCATTTGCAAGTTTGTATTTTGTTCTTGGAAGAGTACTTTGATAAAGAGACACTTTGAAAAGTGAAAGAATGTCCTTGCTAAAAAACATTTTAATATTGTTTCCCTCACTTATTTACTGGTATGTTAATAAATTGTTACAGCCTCAATAGCACAGTTCTGACATTAACCAGATTTCAGGATATTTATACAAGGCCTATTTTTGCTACTTAAATTATTAAAATGAAGGATCTAAATGTCAGCAAAAATATATTACAGGAGTTTTTTTCTAACAGCATTTTTAGACAAATTTGTTCAAGAAGGTGTTGAGCATATGTTTGATAAAAGAACGTGGGTCATTATTTAAATGAAAATAGTTTTGTTACACTTACTAGAGGAGTTAACATATTTTATAAATACAAGCATCCTCTGAGATGGGTGAAGTTACATTTATTTTCATGTGAGAAAACCAAGATTTAAAGTAAGAGAATATCAGACTAGAAACACCAAAGAGGAGACAGGATTTCCAGAGTGGGTCCAAAGCCTGTTCTCCTCAATCCTTCCTAAATACTGGCCCCGTTCTGGTGTGAAGCACTCTACAAGTGATAAACTTACTACAGTTTAAGGTAGGTTTTACCATTTGATTTTACATAGAAATTCAGCAATTCCTGAGAAACCCCTACCATTTCTTGATATACAGTTGTTACCATGCAATTATGTGAATGAGGCTAGTTAAAAAATTTGTACAACTTCCAAGATTTTGTCTTGGGTTTTGTAAATGAGCACTGAGTAGCCCAAGGTAGTACATTCCATGCACTGAGATAATCTTTACTTTTGGAAAAATCTGCTGAGGGATATTTTTTCCCTGGGGAAAAGAAGGCCAGGTTGCATGGTTTTATTTGATACAATCTGCAATAAGGATTTGTTTAATTAACCTGTCCTAGTTTCCTATTTCTTCCTTTGTTATTTTAAATTGGGGCATCCAACTCATTTGGTCCCATGGAGCAGATCAGGACAATGGACTTGTAGCCCAGACAATCTACCTCTGGTGTCAAAGTGAAGGCTGGTTAGTGCAGCTACTGGATCTGTTGCACTTGCATAGCTGAGGAACCCTGAAGATGAATGCAGCTGCCACTCCCCAGCTTTTTCCCCTGCCACCAGTTTCATTTGCCAACAGTGAGCAAAGTCCCTAAATTTAGTAGTGGGAAAGGTGGGG